GAGGGTTCTCCACCCCGCACAACATGATCTACTCGACCACCATTATGGTTACCGCCAAGAAAAAAACAGAGGTAACAAAAAACACGGTAACCTGGTTGCCGAGTCCACGAAGTGAATTGGCTTGTTTTCCAACGTCGTTGCCAAGCGACGAAAACCCAACCGCGATGGCCAACACCGGGGGGGGCGNGATCTACTCGACCACCATTATGGTTACCGCCAAGAAAAAAACAGAGGTAACAAAAAACACGGTAACCTGGTTGCCGAGTCCACGAAGTGAATTGGCTTGTTTTCCAACGTCGTTGCCAAGCGACGAAAACCCAACCGCGATGGCCAACACCGGGGGGGGCGGCTTGTTTTCCAATGTCGTTGCCAAGCGACGAAAACCCAACCCCGATGGTAAACACCGGGGGGGAGGGTGGGGGGGGGAGATAATATGATTGTTGCACAAGGCGTGTACCTGTCCGAGGGAGGCTGCCGCGAGAGGCTCCGGTGTGATATCCACAAATATTTCCTCCACGGGCCTCCCGTATTCCAACTCCATCGTCTGCAAAAACAAAAACAAGGCGCCAGCGGTGGTTACAATGCTCGGGATGATATGAGGAGTGGCTTTGGATAAAATCATCGCCACAATAAACGCTGCATCAAGAAATAGTATGGATGTGAACCTTGCAAAGAATGCTCTCAAGCGTCGAGAGGAACACAGCGATAATCGAACGCAATCCAGACAGAATGGAGCGGCCGATAAACGTCGAAACGAGTTGGAGTTGGATGACGGAAGCGACAGAGAGCATGCAAAAAACTCGCGTTCAGCAGATGCCTCTGGATCCTGGAAACCACGATTGTAGCAGCCTCCACGTTCGTCAGTCACAGCAACCACGACAAGGACCTCCACATTCATCAGTCACAGCAACCACAACAAGAACAAAATACCGAAGCCTTAGCGAGGAAATATGGTGTTGGTGGGGGGTACCGGGGTCTTAAGGACAAGGCATGGGATAAGAAACCCTCAAGAGACAGTCCACAAAACAAACCACTTGAACAATCACAAAATAGAACATCTCCAACAACAACGACGACGACGACGACAGACAAAAAACATCTAGAAACAAAACTCAACTTACCAAGAACGCGATGGTGCTGTCGAACGACGGGACCTTGTCGCAAAGTCTCTGCAGCTCCACCATCGCGCCGGGGGACAGAATGTCCGGTCGGATCGACAGCGCCTGCCCCAGCTTGATGTAGAAAGGGCCCAGCGACGTGATAATCTCGCGCAGCTGTATCGCCCGCGCAATCTGTGCAAGGGTGTTTACACAGCAGTACCGAACGATTTCAAACGGTGGGCGGCAGGGCGGAAAACACATTTTTCCGTTTCATACATGGGGGGTCCTGTCGGGCAGTGTCAGCGCAGCTAGGTTTGTGTCGCTCGCGCAACTTTCCAACCCAAAATGTGGTCCTCGTTTGTACCGCAGCGGTGCACACACAAGGAAGGAGGGAGGGTGAATCCATTCAATCCGTTCGGGCGCGGTTGGTGTTGAAAGAAGAGATAAAACGCAAACAACCGGTTCGTGTCGAAATACGGAAAACCGGGATCTTGGCGACGCGCTCGTACGGGTGTGGCCGAATAAATCCGCGAGAAAAACACACCCGCCGCCTGGTCGACAAGGGTACTAGCGAGAGGGGGCAGGGAGCGTTAAATATCGCGGAATCCCCCCTCTTTGTGCCGACCAGCTGTAAAAACAAACAAAAAAAACGGGGAAAACGGGCGTTCAAATGCACAGGGGACTTGCTTTGAGAGCTGAAACCATACTACGAAAAACAGGTCTAGTTCTACGGAGCACTGGTTCTGAAGGAGAACCGATCGTTTCGGGCGATGTCTATCGAAGCAACTTCTTGTTTCGCTAAGTTCTCACCTCGTTCTCCTTCACTTTTCCCCTCACCAAGTCGAGGAGGTAGCTCGTAACGAAGCCCGAGAACGCCCCAGCGAGCTGAAGGGTTCGCCTCGTTGCCACCTGGGGGGCAGGGGGGTGCCCCAGATAGTTCCCACAAGTTAGAGGATGCCATATCCACGTCTACGATGCCATCCCGTGGTACCGAGTATTGTTCAGCACGACCACACACCGCAGCAGCAGTAACCACGTTGAGTCCAACCTTTTAGGCTGCCCGCGGATCACGGCTTGGAACCATCATCTGCGCCCCCGCCCCCGCCCCTTCGTCTTTGATCCGTGTCCAACCTATCGCGGTGCTGAACGTTGGTTTCATGAGGCTGACGAAACAAATACCAAGATGTGCTCAAAACAATTCCTGTGCACCCGCTACCGACACGATGGTGATCCTTCTCGGACTTCCTCCACTTTCTAGCTCCGTCATAAAATGTTTGCTACTGCTTCCTCGGTTTTCTACAATAGCACCGCCATCTACAGCTCGCTACTACTTACGAACAATAGGAATAATAAATTCGGAATGTATGTGCTATTTCATGGGACCGCGGCGAAAATGAATCTTAAACATGCCGTCCACGAAGTAATTGCTGTGACTGGCCCTGATACGTCTGCGCGTTTCCTAAGGTGCAGCACATGCAACCGTTATCGTCGACAAACTCACTTGTGGCTCGCGTTCAGGTGCAATACACACGTAGGCACAACCGTTTTCGATAGATGCAATTATTGACTCGTCTTCAGGTAGGCAAGAGCTTCTATGGATACCGCACAAACCATACTACCAACTGTTGCCCCCCCGGAAAAACTCGCACGTTCCAGCCTGCGGACAAACCGTCGCCTTTGAAGGCGTGGGAACAGGTACACCCTGTGGGCAGGCGCCGTGCGCCGAAAAAATAATCTTCCTCCTTTGAGTTCCAGAATGAATGATTCCCCATGTAGGATTGCGAGGTAAAACAGTCTAACGACTACCTGGCATGCACCGCGATGAGTACACCCCTTCACACACCTGTGGTCTTCGAGCAAAGTAATCCTTGAGGGCCTCCGGGTCATACACCACCGGAAGTCTGTCCGTCTCTCCTCCCGCCCCCTCCGCCTCGCCGTCCTCGATCTCCAGGAGACGCATCTCTCCTTCCGCGGAGGCGTAGTCCCTGATCCCCGCCCCCCGCAACGCCTGCATGTACGCCTGGGCTTCCTCGTTCTCTTCGAGATCTTTTCTCATCTGAGGAGTTGGCGGGAAACGTGGGTGTTCGGTTGCAGCTCGAAAAAAAGTATTTTTCTATACAGCAGAGGTCCCTGTTTAGTGCCGGTTGAATAGTGCCGGTTGCCGGTGTAGTGCCGGTCAAATCTCGGCGCACAGAACCCGCCCTGAAAAGTGCCAGACCAGCACTATCCAGGGCTGCCCACTATAGTGCCGGTTCGGGCCCCACTGAACCCCACAACAGTGCCGGTTCAAGCACGCACGCACACACACCACGCAAGAGACACACAACACAGAAGACAGACACAGAGGAGAGGGTACACGTGCTGCTGCAGACCCGGACAGCTCTACACAGAGGGCGGGGGTTACAGCTACAGCGGCTGTTTGATTTCTTGCATGTCCCGTTCTTGCGGTCGTGTTTTTTTTGTCTTGTTCTGGCTACATCGAAGGAGGGTGAGGAGGAAACAGATTTAGCTTCCTCCCTCACCAATAGGTTGTGCCAGCAGGAGCTCCGCAAGTTTTTTACCNCAGACCAGCACTATCCAGGGCTGCCCACTATAGTGCCGGTTCGGGCCCCACTGAACCCCACAACAGTGCCGGTTCAAGCACGCACGCACACACACCACGCAAGAGACACACAACACAGAAGACAGACACAGAGGAGAGGGTACACGTGCTGCTGCAGACCCGGACAGCTCTACACAGAGGGCGGGGGTTACAGCTACAGCGGCTGTTTGATTTCTTGCATGTCCCGTTCTTGCGGTCGTGTTTTTTTTGTCTTGTTCTGGCTACATCGAAGGAGGGTGAGGAGGAAACAGATTTAGCTTCCTCCCTCACCAATAGGTTGTGCCAGCAGGAGCTCCGCAAGTTTTTTACCGCCTTAAATCCATGGGCTTCGTGATCAGTGGTTTGCTTTCGCTGTCGAGGAGTGATGTTGAGGTTGCGCGAAATGGTTTGATCCGTTTAAGGCCAGTGCCACGGCATTCTTGCCAACAACATATTGGACATCTATGAGGTGCATCCTTCGCGATATTCATGTGAAGAATTTCAGTCAGGTTGTGCAAGTGTGCAGCACGTGCGCTGAGGTGGGTACAGCAACAAGGTGCAGCACGTGTGTCCCGTCTGTTAACTTATTAAGCAACATATGTGTGTTCGACAGGGCAGGAACCACCCCTATCGTGGCAGTCTGCCCGCGACGCCCATGCCATGATCTCACCATGTACGTTTCATGTGGTACTCTGTTGGCCCCGCAAAGCAAAGGGCTGCACTCTGAAATCACACAGTTCGTCAATAGTGCCGGTCTGGCATTGTTGAGGGATTTTCAGACCCTGAATAGTGCCCCTTTGGCACTATTCAGGCACTCTGAAGAACAGTGCCGGTGCCCGGAATAGTGTCGGTGAAATTCTTGCGCACACCCCGGCACTAAACAGGGACCTCTACTGTATCCGTAGAAGAAGACCGAAACGAAAGCGGTACTCCAAGCTCTGATGACAACTTGAGAGTTTGAGGCAAAAGCTGGAGTTGTCTCCGGGTTCGGTTTGGTATTGCCAACGTGGACACACAAGTTTCTGCCGTTGTTCTCGCTTTAGAGAAAGGGTCTAAACTTATCGTCGTGAGCGGCAAGAGAGCCTCTCTTCGCTCTCTTCACGAACACCTTCCTCACAGCAGCGGTGGTAAAACGGTCACCCCGTACTCAACACTTGCTGATGAAAAAGTGCATGACCAACCGTGTTCCGCCTATCAACATACGTGCGTGCGCCAGGGATGTCCTGAGCACAGTTCGATAGATCAGGGTGAAAGCTCCTGGCCTACATGTGGTCGGCATCCTCAAGGCGCTCCTGGCGGCTGAAACAACGATTGAAAGGAAAAAATGGCGCGTTGTGACGCCGTGCCGTAATTCGTCCAATTCCTCATTCTACTGTAGTATGGTGGTTGGACGTCAAGGAATGCCGCAGCCGTCAGTGAGGGAACGTGCAAAACAAGCGGGAAAACGCAGACACTGGAGTGTAAGACAGACCGTCAACTCTGTAGGTACACGGCGTCCACTTAAAACGACTAATTACTGCTGTGAGGTAGCGGTTCCTCTGCGACCGTTGCTCCTACGTCGTAGTACAATTTGAGACATGTAGTGCTTCCATCAGCTTTATTCGGCCTGGACTTTCTCCCAAGAATCGTCCAGCTTCGATCCACCGCGCAACAACAACCCTCAATCAAATTGCGAGACGACCGGGCTGCTGTTTTACCCCGCCCGTGTTCTCGTCTCAGGTATAAAAGTATCGTCGTCAATTTGGAAAGTAGTTTCAATTACATATATGTACAGAGCCTGGTCCGGTGAGAACCCGGCATGCTCCGTCCCGGCTNCCCCCCCCCCAACATCCGCAGAAGTAGTAATAATAGCTTCATCATGGTCGTCCATGCACCAACGGAAAACAACAGTGATATGCATAAAGGGGCGGAGAACAGCTTGCTTTCGCCGTTCACGCAGCATCGCGCCTCTCTGCGCACTCCGCGTGCGCATGCGGAGACCCCCCCCCCGAAAGGTCTTATTTTCCCCTCTAAAAACGAGGTGTCGGACTCGGGGGAGGAATACAGCAGTCTTATCTATCTGTAGCAGCAGCAATGCTTCCTATTTTATTTTTTTTCCTTCAGGCCGTTGTACGGGAGTACTGGTTTCGGTGTGGGAATCTTTTTGGCATCGTCTGTAAAAGTTGAGGATGCCCAGTACAGCAAAAAAAGTAGACACCAAAATAAGAACGTGATATGCAGGACAACCAGGCGTGTTGCATGACTGGCGCCGCGGACAAGCGCATTGCTCTTTGCCTGCGCACCTGAGCATGCCGGTGACGAGGGCGTATGTATAGACTATGACGTGCAGCAACGTACGCATGTGTGTGACTCATAAGCCAACCGGTACTAAACGACAGCAGTGTGACAGTCAGAACAACTCGATTCACACAAACTCAGCAGCAGCCAGCAGGCCGACAGAAAACGACTGCATAAGATCGGCCGGCCCAAGTCGGCCTGATTACGCACCTGGCTCATCTGTGCGCTCATTTCCCTCACTGACTGTGTTCCGCCATTGATGGTCTCGGTCTCTTGCTGCTGCTGTGTCCGAGGAGGTGGTGATGTCACCGTCATCTCGAGCCCATGTTTCGTTCGGGGACACCTGCCATACCACCGCGGCGATCCTCCCACGGTAGATGCGGAGCTCCCGCTCACGCCGCTGCTCCTGCTAAAGGTGCTTTTGGCTACGCCAACGTGGGAAGGAGCCACGAGGCCATATACCAGGTGCTCGCGCTGGCGACGACAAAGCAGCAGCAGCAGCAGCAGCAAACATGACGACGTCGTCGCAAGCTTCGTGAGCTGACTCCTTGCCCTCCGCCGGCCTGGCTGGCTAGCAGATTGAGTGTAACGTGGGAGATAGGAAGCTTTACTTCGATGGCCAGGCTTATTCATGGCTGCACTGTTTCCCGTAGGGCGGGATGTGCTGATTTATAAGATCAACAACCAGAACGAGGCTGCAGAGCGTGGTGGTAGAGCGAACGCGGAGTAAACGAGTAAACTAGATAGAGGGCACGCAGACTGGCCTTCAGATTTTGTGGATACCCCATGCAATTGACCCCAAGAACAGGAAAAATGTTTATCAAATAATTGGGATCCGCAAATCAATACCATGTTGTTGTTGTTGTTGTTGACTTCACATCAAACCGTATGCCAGTTGCTAAATGCCAAAATCTAGCAAAGGCTCTCGGCCCGTGGTCACGAAAGTGCTACAAGTAGAGCCATCTGAGGATCTAAAGAACACGCACACGTAGCAAGAAAAAGGTGTTCAAGAGCCCGAAGAGGTTATACTACACCAATGTATAGTCTAATCCCTGCAGAACCATACGCTTGCCCAAAACTGAACTACACGTCCGTCTCACCGTTCGACTACAGCAACATCACCCCCTACCTGTCCCACTCTGTACCAAAACGAATGATTGCCGACTACAGCATACTTGCTGTCTGAAGTGCTGTCTGTACAAAAACACCATGGTAGGCATGGAACAAG